TATATATATATATATATATGTATATTTATATATATACTTTTTTTAAACTTAAATTACATTATCTTTGTACTATATTAAATATCCCATCAATGAAAACAACCTGAAAAATTAGTTTGATGTCGACAAATGAAATTAGGTGATACATCTGTTCTGTTCACGGTCTTGGATTTTTAAAATCAATCTTGTGAATCGGAAAAACTAACCTTACTGACAACAGGACACTTGTTAAGTTTAGTGTATGTATATATGGCTAAACTATTAATAACTCTGTGTGTGAAGGGGGTTCAGCTAGTTGGCAACCACAACCACCCATGCTAAGGGTTTGACTGTCACTCTTATAATGCACCCATACCCCGTTTAATGAATGATATATATATTAAAAAAACATTCTCTCCAAACTGTTTCCTGGTGCGTATTTTTATTACATCGAGAACGATCTCCAAACATTAGGATGCCGTTAAACTTTCAGAAGTTAATTTATACTTTAAAACCAAAAACATGTATCCAGTAAAAATACACCATTGAATCAATGCTAAGAGAGGTAGCTAGCAAAGCTTAGTGTTAAAGCCAAACAGCATCGTAACATGGTGTTACATTTCAAACTAGTTACACATTGTAGTAGGTTTAGCTGGTAAATATTATAAGCAGCTAAAAATAGGCTTCAGAATCCAACTAAATTTAAACATTTTCAAATTAAAAAAATAAACAATATACAATAAGAAATAATTGTTTAGGTTCTTAACATTGTAAATGCTATACATAGCCAAAAACTTCTGTTAAAATTCTGAATTACTCAACATTTTGATTTTAGAAAGGTGGTCAATATAGAACTTTTAAAACATTTGGAAATAAATCAACAAATTATAAAAAAAAAATGTACTTTACTGATGACTGATCATTTTTTTTTTGCTTTCAACATTTTGAGATGTGACTTTCTAATTTTAATAAATTAAGCATTACTTCTATATAACGGATAAAAAAACAACATAATGCGACAAATTTGTAAATTTAAAATCTAGAAAAATACTAGTTGAGGTATAAAAATAATTGTTTGTTATAGCAACCTTTGTGCTTTTGTTTGGATAACAACGGTTACAAAATCTAGACACTTTCCCATATTTTCAAGTTAGAGTATCGAAATCAATAACTACACCAAAACACTCAAATGTCTTTGTTTTCTTTGGGGGTTAAGGGTTCGTGTGTGTTTTCATGATAAACTGCTAAAGCAAAACAAAAACAACCAAGTAACTCCTTAAACCACCACTTAAGATAAAACATGAAAAGTTAAAAAAATTAATAAACTTCTACATATAATTTTGTACTAGAAATGGCGTACAAGAATTAAGGTCTTATTAAAGCGATTAAACTTCCTAAAAAAATATACGAGACGGAAGATAAAACCTGTTGGACGGGATGACTCTCTCCAAACAAACCAGTCTCCGAAATTGCAGGCTAATTTCAACCTATATATTTTTTTTTTTTTTTGAGGTTGATACATAATTGGCCATCCCAGAAATATACAATTATATTTACACAATCGCTCGAGCACAGACTCAAAAAATAAAACCAATAACATCCAAGCTCGGTACTTTGAGGACTTATGCAGAAGTCTTTAAAAAAAAAAGGTTCCAAGGTGAATTGTCTACGATGTGTTTATGTTAAAAGTCTTAACACTTTTTACGAGGTTTGTAGCAACACCCAATGTCCGCTTCAGATCCCAGTTCTGCCGAGGCTAAAAGGTAGCGATATTTTTTCTTAGCAAGGTTCTGGTGTGTGTTGTAGAAGCTGTTGAAGTAGGCTTTTTTTCTGATCAGGAGGCTTTGGTTCTTCACCCTAAGACGAGTGAAATATTAACTTTTATGAACATTGGCTAACTTCGATACTGAGTGTACAAACTCAGAACTACCACACTTAACAAAAAATATACGTCAATAGTTTAAAATGTAACAAACACAAGTTATTGTTTCAACATTCCTAATCATTTTATCCAGCCTCGTAACATTTTCATGTTTATTAGTTGTACTTATTGAAAATCTTTTATTAAATACAAATCTAAAAAATACAAACACAGACACGTATTTTTTTTGTAAAAAAATTACCAACAGGTGAAATTAAACCTTACCCTAGGGCTATGACTGGGAACCCGAGTTAAGGTACCGTGTTTACTGGGTGGTGGAAAGAGACCCGGAGATCCATCGGCTGCTGGGAAAATGATAAAACAATATACTTTACATCTATCTCCTAATGGAGTGGTATAGGAGTTACAGATTAAAGTATTATTTTCTGCTCTAGAAAATGTACTAAAGCAATTAATACTTGATTCGATTGGCACGTTAAAAAGGTTTCATATCTTAAGTGGAGAGCGAGAGGGAGATTAATTTAAATACCTGTTTCAAGATCCAATGACAGAACAAGTGCATCTAACTCTGAAGGGTTAAAGGTCTGATGACTCGGTGTGGATGAAGATCCCCCTCCACTAAGAACGTACTGCTGGAGCTGTTGTCCCTGAAGAGTTATATCAACTATTAATTAACCCACTCCTAACATGACTACAAAACCCAGTGTCCGTCAACAACTTGAGAACCACCACATATTCAGAAACAAAATCTAACTACAGATCTTTGGGCTCGATTTTAAGGAAATTTCCAGGTCCTTAGGTTAACCTGACCTGTATCAGAGGTTTTCTGGAAGGCTGTATTGTTTGTGAACAACAACAAAAACCCATAGATCCAATTACAACAATATTGATATACAAAGACCCAATTACAATAATTTTGATGTTTTTATATCATTTATTTCCAAAATGTACAATTATTGTTTAGTTGGTAATTTTGCACTTTTATTCAACTAATTTTTGATGTTTTATTTTTCGGGAAGTTTTGTTACGTTGGAAAAACCTCGTTAATGTTACATAGTATCTTAAGGAAACAAACAGTCAATGGACTGTAAAACATTTAAACAGAACAGCGATCCTGGACAATCCCGTTCAATGTTTTCATTCTAACCAGCTTGACCTGCCCGTAAAGTACAGCCTGTATTATAACTAGAATTGCATTGGAACTCTCACATGTAATTACTGTACCGTAACCGTACACACTGCCTGTACGCTGCACATGTACACACACATCGCTGATATGTACTGTTGTTCATACTGGTAGTTAGTATTGACCTGGAGAGAGACAAAACTAGACTTATTATATTTATTGTTTGTTACTGATCAAAATGTTTAGTTATTATTATTGTGTTCTGTTTAATTTGTGGATTTTCACACAGTAACTAGGCCTTCCGTATTTCCTAGACTAATATTAGTTTTAGGGCATATATATGCATAATTGAAAGGGGTCTTAGTTATTATTATTGTGTTCTGTTTAATTTGTGGATTTTCCCACGGTAACTAGGCCTTCCGTATTTCCTAGACTCTATTGGTCGTGTCCATCTAACATTAGTTTTGGGGTCTTAGTTATTATTATTGTGTTCTGTTTAATTTGTGGATTTTCCCACGGTAACTAGGCCTTCCGTATTTCCCAGACTCTATTGGTCGTGTCCATCTAACATTAGTTTTAGGGCCTATATATGCATAATTGAAAGGGGTCTTAGTTATTATTATTGTGTTCTGTTTAATTTGTGGATTTTCCCACGGTAACTAGGCCTTCCGTATTTCCTAGACTCTATTGGTCGTGTCCATCTAACATTAGCTTTTAGGGCCTATATATGCATAATTGAAAGGGGTCAGTGTTTCAATTTTGATGATTAATGATGAAAATTCTGAGTTTAATTTTATAAACTTGATCATGTTAGTTCCTACCGAAGGTTTATTGGCAAGTTGAGACAGCCATGTTAGTTTTATTGTCGTAAGCATCTATACTAGAAATTAGTCTCACTAAATATTTGTGTTATCGTTGAGTCCTACCCACATACAATGTGTGGTAATGTAACTAACTGAGCTGAATACACTGTACTATGTTACCACACATAGCCATTCACGCTCATTTGAACTTCATACGAAATTTACGTGACCTAAACATCATTATTGTCCAATCACAAAAGAGAACTCTTCCTAACGTTTTGGTGGATTGTATCAACATTTCTCTTGTAAAAAGTCTAACCTTTTTTTAAACTAAAAAATAGACCAAAAGATATTCTTGTGGGGGTTCGAATTTTCAGTTCGTAGTTAGGAAATTTAACGATGATTTTGGTGTGGGCATGGATAAGTGTACAGAAGACTGTGATGCTGTTTCAAGTAAAGGTCTGTTCCAGGATGCTAGTTATCCATTGGACAACACGGGGGTTTAAGTTGTTCGTCTGAGGAAGTTTTTAGTTATCTCGCACGACCATTAAAATCGAGCCCTGGATACATACACGTACATCCATCAAATCATGTTATTTATACATAAATATGTAAAATATCACACTGCTTATTAAACCAATAATCTGACTTAACACGTTCTGCCTACATTTCAAAGTTAACAGGTGATAATTAAAGATGTTAAGATATTGGCTATACTTCCACGTCACAGAGGTAATATGATTGTTCCAACCTGTGCTTGTTGTTGCTGGGTTTTAGCTCCCACCATAGCCCGTAACTCTTGTCTCACTCTGCCATTACCATTTCCTGCAACCTGCCCTCTGTTGTTAAAAAAGTAAAATAAGCAAAATCGAATCTTAAATTCTGAAATGAACATGATAAGAATAATATAAAATGTTATTTGTTGACTTAAGCTCAATGACTGATTGTATAGACCTATTGGTACCAAAAATTAATTAGTCTAACTAACTAATATGTATTCAGGGCTAACTTAAGTATCCTAAGCTGGCCTAACGTATTATTGGAATTGCAGTAAGGGTACCCAAATGTTGAATCAATGTATACTAATCACTACGAGTTCTTGTTTTACGATGATACACAGTACGGTAAACTAGCTAGGATACTTAAAAGTTAACTGTTAGTTCGGGTATATTTAGATAACTTGCTTCAATTAGAAGTTACCAATTCAAACTGGATAACTTCTTATCTCTACTGTGTAATGGAGGTTGCATACTAGGCTATATAAAAGTTTGACTTAAAAGTACCCCAGACTAACTGTATTGGTTGTATAGTAAAAAAATTAAAACAAATGATGAACCACAACCAGAAAGTATTAAGACAGTTCCAATAATATTAGGCGTTTCTAGAAAGAAAAGTAGGGCCTTTAGAAGGTAAAATAGGGATACTTCAGATTTCATGTGTTTATATACAATACCTTCTTTGCCCTAACCATTACAAAATTAAGAGATGCACCAAAACATACATACATACCTAATCTGATTTTAATTTTGTCAAACTACCCGATTTTGAATAGTTTGCGATTTTAATAACGGAGACAGTCTATACCCACAATACAACTATATATGTGTTTGAATAGTTTGTGATTTTAATAACGGAGACAGTCTATACCCACAATACAACTATATGTGTTTGAATAGTTTAAAGGTAGGAGGCCTGAAATATCGGTAAATATCTAAGTTTAGGACTCGTAATACTAACTGTGGACTCGTGTTGCTTAATACTATTTATTACATCAAACTCCAAGCATTGAAGTTCATATTACAAATCTTTACAAATACTCAGCCATTCTTGCAATACAATATCTATATAAATATAATAGTACTGTCTGTCCATGTGACTACTTTGCCCCCTGTTGATGGATCTTCACCAAAATTGGTATGGAGATTCAAATTTGCAGTTTTGAGTGTTTTTTTTTGTGGGTGTCTTTTACCGCTACTTTGCCCCCTGTTGACGGATCTTCACCAAATTTAGCATGAAGGTTTGTTGGGTGCACGGGAAGATCTGTGCAAATTTGCAGTTTCACATTTTGTGTTTTTATGGGCTTTTTTTTTTTACAATTACATATAAGGGAAGCAACTTTTCGTGTATCGTGAATTTACATAACTTCCATCCAGGGGAAGAATACTCCGCTAGTACTAATCAAAAGAGCAATCTATAAATTATGGAATACAAGTTAAAATTAGAATTTTATATACTAGTCACAAGAAAAACATAAGTAGAATAACTTAACACTGCAGCTCTACCTTTCGACAAGGCTCGAACTAAACATCTGCAGGTTTTGTTGCTCGAAACAAAAGTGAGAGTTATCTGTCGCTCCGTCTGCAGACGTGTAGTTATTTCCACGTGCAGACTGACTGCTGTAGCTCGATGACATCTGTGGCCGAGGTGATACGACTTGATCGCCACCCACATATCCTCCGTGCGGTGTCCTTGGCGAGTTTACGCGACCTGTAAAGGAAAGAAAAAAGCTTGTTAAAGGTAAAACACCTAAAGCAACCTTTTCAAATTCAAGTAAAACTGGTCACTGCAAGACACGTCAATGAAAAGATTGTGGTTGTTCTTTATTATTTTGTGAAAACCTTGACAAACACAACAATTACATTCCTTCATTTATAGCATAAGGATGTAATACCTTAAAAGGAACACTTAGAAATAAATTCAACACAGTTTCTAAACAAATGCCTGCCCAGGACTTCACAGCAATATTAATAAATCAATAATAATGGAATCGTGAAAAAGAACCAAAAAGAAAAAACCCAATTCCAAAAAAAAATATAATATTCAAGCAATACTTTTCATTGTCGAGTGACAAATGGCAATAACTATACCCTTCACTAACTATCTCTCTTAGTGAAGTTTCTGGCAGGGTATTTATTCACGAGAGTACAAGCTCATGTGATAATAAATTTACATACTCTTCTGTTACATTAATAGTATCTGTACGTCACTGTTAGGGAAGCTGGTGTCATTAACATGTAGAAGGTGAGTTAGCGTATTAATGGAACTAAAAGTTTATAGATAAACTAAACGATAGAAGGAAATAATAAATGATCAATAAACTAATACAAGATCAGACACATTAACCAACAAGTTTACAAATAAACTAATACAAGATCAGACACATTAACCAACAAGTTTACAAATAAACTAATACGTTTACAAATAAACTAATACAAGATCAGACACATTAACCAACAAG